CCTCAAGCAGACCAAGCGTGCAAGGTTCGCCGGGGGCTCGTCAGCGGCCCACCGAGCAATCAGCAGCCTCACCAAAAGGGGACTAGGGTCGTTTCAAGCTGAGGGTCGGGGCCAGCCAACGGAACGCACTGGGGGTGTGGGCTCCAATCACACATGCCACACCAGATTGATCGGTTTCTCTGATAACAGGGGGTTGTGTTTCTATTCGCTTTGATTCATCTCCAGTCCACGTCAGTTTCAACCTGCGGTTTGGGTTGTGCTTCCTCGGGCAGTTAATAATAGCAGTGATCGTGGGATGATTTTACCGCCAATGTCTGTCGACGGAGTATCTTCCTAGGTCAATGATGCTAAAAACAGCCCTCGGCTGGGATCGAGCATTCTCTTACCCGGATGGCTTGCAAAGGAAAATAGCCGACCGGAGAGGCGGTGCACAAGAATGTTGCCAGTATTTCCCAAATAATATTGAGAGAACCCAGTTATGGCCCCTGCAGTTTTAACGGATAGATAGCTGTTGACCTGCCATTCCTTTCCTGCTTTTATGCCCCGATTCCTGGTCCCCACGTGATCGACTAGTCAATGGTTCGCTGCTTAGTCTCAAATACAGTACTACTGGCTGGCTGATTTATTTACTTACTCCGTCCTTGGGAGGAATGAGTACTAGTATAGTCTGGTATAGTAGTACGTAGTAGTAACCATTCGCCCCCATCACTGTGGCATTCGTAAGCCCCAAGAGTAAGACAGAGGCAGAGAGAGAGAGAGAGAGAATGGAAGGCAAAAAATAGAAAGAAAAAGAGAAGTCAAGCATCCATTGTCAACGTTTATTTGACAGTCTAGAACAGAAGAACCCATACAACCTCCAAAAAGGGCGGGTACCGACCACGTTGGCCGGGATTCCTGATTGTAGGAGCCCAAGGATTGGTGAGGTGGATTGAAGAATCGCAACCAGTGGAACAAAACCACTGCGGAGATCCTCTCCCTAGCCTGCCTGAGGTACCCGTCCCTCGGTCGGAGAGAGGTTTAATAGCACGGGGTCGTACCATCACTCGTCCACATGTTCCTGATTGTTTGTGATCTTCTTTTTTTCCCTTCTTTCTCTCTCTCTCTCTTCCTTCTCCCCCCTTTCCTTCCCTCTGCTTTGACTGCTCTGTCCGTGGCTGGAGCATTGCTCTCCCCTCCATATCTCGCAACTAGCTGCTGGAACAGCTTTAGTCCCTACCCCGTCTCTCCCTTGCTACAATCAAACCCCCCCCGTCTCTTCTGCGGAGTACAACAACCGGGCGGGCTAAGCTATAGTTCCCTACTATCGCCCATCGCCTTCAGAAGCTGCGAAGCGCCGAGCCCACTCGCGCTGGCGTTTACAGATACACCACTCTACCTTGGAGTTCATTGGTTAGTTTGGCTACTGCCTTATGCCCCTCTATCTAACCCCTGAAGCTTCCAAGCTCAGATACTACTTACTAGCTTCCCCCTTTGTTGCAGCGCCGTTCCTGAATGGTCATTTAATTGATTGGTTTTGGTAGATCGCTCGTCTCCGAGTCCCACCAGACAGCGCTGGTAATCGCACCGGTCCTGCTAGCAGTGTCATACAATCGGCCCCGTTTACTTGGGTAATTGCTCTGCACACACCCACTTCTGGTGTTTGTTATCCGCTAGCTTGTTCTTTCTCACGCCGCGCGTCTCTGTCGCATATTGGGCCTTGTGTGCGAACACTAAGAAGTTCGAGCGAGTCACTTGTCCCACCAACCGCCACTTCCTCCCTTCCTACTTCGGTACCCGAGATTCTATCTTGCCTTGACGACTGCCATTACTTACGCGCGATAAGGTGTATTCGATTACGCTCCGTATTTACACTTACCGAGCTGTCAACAATAGTCCTGCTTTGTCGATCTTCCACCTGCGCACACGCACCTGCGAGATTGGCGGAGAATACGGACGGACAGGCGCCGCATATACTTCATCAACCCATCCTGAATTTCCTGCGATGCTCAATAGCAGGCCGTATCGTATCTCGGAAACATACCTACTTTGAAATCCACCGATATGTCTACATCCACTGAGGATCCCTTTGCCTTCATCGCGAACGAACAGAAGCCCGCGCCGGCCAAGAAGCCGCATTGGAGAGATAAACTGTTCTCAAAGGACAAGCGGGCCAAGGGCTCTACGGATCAGCAGATAGAGGCTTTCCTCGCACCTACTCGCTCGAAATCCGTATCCTACGGAGCGAGTCAGACTACGCCTCCGCGATTGGATGCCACCCAAAAATGGCCGTCTGCCCACGATGTCCTCAATGCGGCTTCGTTGAACCCTGCCCTTCATGATGCTCCCCCGCCCGTGGACTTTACGAAACCACCCTTCAAGAGTCGTCGGAAGGGGTTGACAGTCAAGTTCAGTGCCCACACTCCCGAACTGATTGGAGAAGGGGGTGATGAGACTGACAAGCCGACAATTGAGATCTCCTTATGTCGTAATAACCAGAATAGCCACAGTCCCAGTATGGTGGATGACTTTGGTGACCGCCAGCCAAAGTTTCCTCAACTTCGTTTGGACACTTCGTTTGGTGACTTCAATGCCCCGGCGCCGCAGCAGAGAGATGCGCAGAAGGGGACACGTATAGAGGACTGGAAGCCGCTGTTGCTACAGAACCCTCAGGACGCTGATTTCCTTATGACACTGAACCTGGGAGAAAGAGGCTCCCGCTTATCATTCCGTGCTTCACCCGAGTCCCATTCGTTTGCCCAACGGATACGAGACAAGATGCAAGCTGAGGAGGGACGTGCTTTGCAGCACCGAATGCCAGATCCACCCTCCCCTGCAGATGAAGCAGGGGTGCAAAGTCCGGCGGAGGCTGTTCCTGACAGCCCGAGTTCAACCTATGAGACGCCACCCCTTTCGGAGACAGAGCCCAGCCCGCCCGAGAATCCGTTTCGAGAACCCCAAGTCCCTCCTCACATCGATCGCAGTCCAGTTGATCGCAGCCCTGAAACCCCGGTCCATCCTTCTATACTCTCTCCTGGCGGAAGTGCCCAAAGCCTTTCTCCTCCAAAACGGCAGATCATACCCAAGATGGCGGAACAACCTGACGCCCCCTCTCCTCCAGCCAGCAGGGATAACCGCGATACTTCCCGGAATCCTCAGGCTCCAAAGTTTACATTGCGGTCTGTTGCTAATCAACTGGGTGACACGGCTTTCACTGATCTGAAAGCGTACATGGCGCAGTTTAAAGGCTTGATCCAAGCCTCTGCGGAAGAAGCCAGGCCCATCCAGGACACCTCTCTGTCTGAATGGGTGAGAGCTGAAGTGTGGTGGTTTCTGCGGGGAAAGAAACGTCTCGAGGTTTATGCACGGTCACGCCCCTCCAGCTCTGGCACACGATCACCCCTTCTCGGCTCCACAGAAAGCGCGAAGCAAGCCATCGTGGATCTTGCTAAGGCCTTATGGATCAATGAATATGTCGTCCCACAACATGATGAGGTGACCCGCTATGGCGCAAGGAGTATTGATGCTGTGATTGCAGTAGCCAACACGACCGGGAACGCACAATTGGCCGATCTCCTTACCCTACACCAGGCGATCATGAACCATTCTCGCTCATTAGCCATGTCCATCAAGCGGAACAACATCCTTGTGGCTATTGCATCCCAGGGTGATTCCACCATACCAGTTGACACTAGTGTTTGGATGCGGTATCCATCTTTCGCTCTGGACGTGGCTGCGGTCCTCTCGGGTACCGTAACAAGCTCGCTACTGGCGGACACGGCAGGAAAGGGGCCTTCCTTTGTGCAAACAATGCCACTAAGTGATACCAGTCGCTATTTTAGCTACGGGACCATGTTTGTGAATGTTCTCGTCAGCTCCAATGAAGATGACATGCCGAAACTGTCTATGCCATGCGCATTGTCCATAATACGTGATCGTGCTGACTGGTATGTCTTCGCCGCGATAACCAGCCAGAATGAACTTGTCAATGTTATGATCCAGTCGGACAAGAAAAAGGGCCCTACATGGGACAGCGTGGACTGGCTAGTCCGGTCACATTCGATAAGGGTGAAGCTGTCGCGTGGATTTGTGTTGGAGGTCGCGTTCCAGGAGGATGACTTCAAGAATATCTGGAACATTGTCCAGTACACCCGCAAGACCGAAGCAAGCCTGCAGGCTGAGTCGGGTGAAACAGTAATTTTTGAAAACACTCTCAAGTCATTCCAGTATATGGACCCTGGAACGCCAAAAGCCTTCCCGGCCGATCCCATTGAGCGGTGTCGGCTTCGACTCTTCGAAAAGACCATCACTCTGACTGAGGGCACTGGCAGTAGAATTGTGCATCAAGGGTTTCGTCTTGCGGTACTCACAAGCCCAAAGGTCAAGACCCTTAGCAGTGTGCGTCATACCATTGGGTCCGGCGCACCAGTTGTTTTCGGTCTGCTCCGAGGTGAAGATGGAGCACCAGCCCTTCTACTCAAGGTCAAGGAGGAAGGGAGGACCCGGTCTATGGTGATGACGTTCTATGAATCGGAGGATCGCACAAACATGCATTCCTTGCTTCTGGGTATTCAGCCTAAGGGAAACGAGGTTAAGTCACCTGAGATCCCAATCCGTGCATACACCGTCCAACAGCCTGCCGACCGTAACACTGGGCAGCCAGCAAAGGATCATATTCAATTTCCTGCCGGTACAGTCTCGATCATTGACCGTGAGCACACGCATGTTGAGCATGGGTACGGTCCGACGGTGCTATCCGAGAATCTACGTGCTTTCATCGCAACCGAATGGGGATCTGTCACGGATCGGATCAATCTCGGTATGTTTTCCAGATCATTATGGAGAACTTCGCTAACGATATCCTAGGGCCCGGTGAGCTGAAACTGGGACTTGATGTCAACAATCGGACGGGGCTTAGCCTGTACCGACCTGGGCAGAAGGACTGGACTGTGTCCGTCGCTGAAAATCTAGTACTACCAGAGATGCCAGATAAGATAACAGATTTCTTGAAAATCGCCATGGCTAAACCAATGATCCGACGATTCGACTTTGCATCTGTACAAGGTAATATACACTGCTCTCTACGTCGGCCTGAAAGACTTTACTGATATGCCTCTCAGATCTTCATGTGTTCGAACGAGCTGTGACGGGCTACCAGGTGCTTTTTGACAGGTATGCATAAGTCGGATTTGTTGAAGGAGGCCATACTAATACTGGGAATGTAGTGTGGCTACCTCGTTCGCCATCTCACGACGTCGGATGGTTGTCCCGATCACTAAGAAGTGGGAATCCAGCCTGGCTCGAATCCAAGTGATCAAGCGCGACAGAATTGTGCAACTGGTAGTCTTCTTCAGTGACTTCCATCATGGAAAGTGCATGAACTTCGTTCTCAAAGGCACCGACACCCTGGAGAGCTTCGGGAAAGCTGGCAAGTTTGGGGTTCGGATTGTGGATGCCAAATTTGCTCTGCCGAAGACTGAAGATGACCCGGCATCGGACTTCGTATCTCTGGACTCTCCGGATTACCCAATGGAGCACGACGACATTTCAATTGCCTTTGACTCTGAAGCAGGTATGCCGAGTGATCCCTTGCTATTGCATATGTCTGGCGTTAATACTGATACCCTATAGATCGGACGAATTTCCATGCGGCTGTGCCCGGATCAGTCCGTGAGCCGTCGAGGATGAGCTCTCTGCGTCGTTAGGCTTAAGCTGAGTCCGACTGTCACTGTTTTGCAGTATCCATTTCCTACTTGTGCACTCATCCATCCATCCATCCATCCATCATCACCTCGCCCACCAGTCGGCCCACGCGTCACGTGCCCGTTATCCGATGCGGAGCAGCCTCTCCCCCTCTTCGGCTCCCCTTCCCCACTCTTCCTGAGTCACGACAGCAAATCTCCGAATGGCGAATGGCCGGCATTCCCGACTGCGTCCGCGCGGCCTAACCTTTCTTCTTCTCATCTTTTCTCATCATCACCATGGCTCCCGCTAATCGAGAAATGGGCGCCTCCACGCGCGCTCTTCATGTCGACGATGCCCTGAATGTCGTCACGGATGTGGCTCCGCCAATTCACGTGGCCACTACTTTCCGCTATTCCGACAACCCCGATGACTTAGTGCCCTGGGCCGACCGCAGTGGGGTAAGTGTCTTACTCCCCGAATGCACTCCGAGCTCAATGTTAACTGTGCTTCCGTGTCTAGGATCAGAAGGACAACACAGCTCACGTCTATTCTCGGTTGACCGCCCCTAATTATACTCGGTTTGAAGCTATCTTGTCTTCACTCCTCAATGGAAAGGCCATTAGCTACTCCTCGGGGTTGTCAGCTTTGCACGCGGCGCTAGTCCTGCTCAAACCCCGCCGGATTGCCATTGGAAACGGTTATCACGGATGCCATGGCGTGATTTCTCTGTTCAGTCGCCTCACTGGACTTCGGAAGCTAGACCTGGATTGTCCTGCCGAGCAATTGGAGGCTGGCGACGTGATTCATCTGGAAACTCCGGTCAATCCCGAGGGTACCGCCTTCAATATCGAAGCGTATGCTCAAAAGGCTCATTCTCGTGGCGCATACCTCATTGTTGATGGCACGTTCGCCCCGCCCTTCCTCCAAGACCCTTTCGAATGGGGTGCCGATTTGGTGATGCACTCGGGGTCCAAGTATTTTGGCGGACACAGTGATGTTCTTTGCGGAGTTCTTGCCACACAGCGTGAGGATTGGGCGAAACAGCTGCTTGAGGACCGGGTCTTCCTGGGCAGTGTGATGGGAAATATGGAGAGCTGGTTAGGCGTTCGCAGCTTGCGGACTCTGGAAGTCCGAGTGCAGCGCCAGAGCCAGAACGCAACCAGTCTTGTATCCTGGCTGAACGATGCACTGCGTGCGCCCAGCCCCGCTCCGGATAGCGACGAATCTGTGGTTCAGCGTGCCCTTGAGCAGGTGTTCCACGCCAGCTTGCAGAAAGAGGACGAGTCTTGGCTGTTGAAGCAGATGCCCAATGGGTTCGGACCGGTCTTCTCGATCACCATGAAGACGGAGGATTTTGCCCGGAAGCTCCCGAGCAAGCTGGCATTCTTCCAGCATGCCACCAGTCTTGGAGGAGTGGAAACGTTGATCGAATGGCGGACAATGTCGGACGCGACTGTGGATCGCCGGTTGCTGCGCATCAGTGTCGGGTTGGAGAACTGGGAGGATCTCCGGCAGGATCTGGTGACCGCGTTCAAGGAATTAGTCGAGGGTAAATAATGACTGAATTGAACGATCTCATAGATATGACTTAGCACTTCAGATGATGTTAACATCAGTAATCTCTTGATGTCCGCATAATACTACTGCTTAGTTGGGACGACATTCTACTCCATACCTACCAACTGGACAATCCCACCGGCGCGGCACCACCACTCTTATCATCCACATCCTTATCAGCAGACCCCGCACGCCCGCCTTTGTTTTCTCCCTTGTATCTTTCTCCCCTCCTCACTCCCACCCTCAATAAAACCAACCAACCAACAAACAATTTTTCCCAACTCCCTAATATTCTAAATTACCCAAAACATGTCCTCGAAAGAGAATACAACATTCCAAATCCACTACTTCGCCTCCGCATCCACCTACACAGGCAAACAAACCGAACGACTCCCCGCCCCCTTACCGCTGCCGAGACTCTTCGATACCCTTGAGTCCATGTACCCGGGGATCAAAGAGAAGGTGTTGAGTAGTTGTGGGGTGAGTTTGGGGGATGAGTATGTGGATGTTGAGACTGATGGGGAGGTGGTTATTAAGCCTGGGGATGAGGTTGCGGTGATTCCGCCGGTTAGTTCGGGGTGATCTAGTTTTTATATGGTATGTGTGTGTGTGTGTGTGTGTGTGTGTGTGTGTCAGAGTTATGGAGGGAGGTAGGGTGATGGGGGTTTGGGTTATATTGGAATTGGGGTTGGTTGGCTAATTATTATTTGTATAGGTATAGGTACATGCGCTGGCTGGTAGGGGGTGGGAAGTCTGGAGTATTAGGGTGGGTTTGCTTGGATGTATATGATTGAAGTGGGAAAGAGACATAGGAAAGAGATCAATGAAGGGACAGAATGTAAGGGGATAGATTAGGGGATGGGGTTGGTTGTCACTACCGTCAGCATCAACATCAATATTAGCATTATCAGCGCCATCGTCATCACCGTCTTCAGCATCAACATCAACATATCACGCATCCTCTAACCATCCAACTTCTCCACACCCGCCGCCTTCTTCTGTCTCCAAAGAACGAGTCCGCAAACGCCTGAGAAGAAGTACATGATACTGCGCACATACATCCTCATTAGCATGACCCAACCCTCTCCGTAAACCACACCCAGGGGAGGTTACTCACCACATAGCAATACACAGCCCCCAAATCGACTTCGCCTCCAAACACACCGACTTACTCGCTCCAATCCAAGCCGTGTAGTTCACCGTCCCGCCACTCAGATCCTCCAAATAGCTGCTCAGATGCGTGGCAAACGTATACGCCGATGATCCGCTCGACCCGTCGCTGCTGAGCTTGTTGCATTGCAGATAGGAGAGTGGCTTGCCGATGATCACTGATACCACGATCACGGCGATGAGGAGGAGGGTGTCGAGGATGGCGGAGATTAGGAAGTGTAGGATGTTGTCGAGGAAGAGGATCGTTGTGATGAAGCTGTATATCACTGCGATGCTGGTCTGGTTTCCATTCAAGGGTGGTTAGAGGGGTGGATGTTGGGTAGGTAGAAGGGAGAGGGAAGGACGTACTACTGTGATTGTCCCGATGAAGATGGCTGGGGGCGTGGCGCCGTTGGAGACAATCTCGGCAATGAAGTTCGCTGTTAGTCCGATTATGGCAATGAGTGAGCAGAGCTGGATGATACGCGCGCAGATGAAGGTCGCGCCGAGGAGTCCGTGGGGGGCCATTTTCTTTTCTTTCTTCTTGATGGCAGTTGTATCTGCTAGGGCGGATAGATGTGTGTATTATAGAATGGATAGCTCGATGACGCACTTCACGAGTGAGATGGATTGTAAGAGAAGAGAAAGTGTTTGCTAGTAGCCAAATGGCCGTGATTAATACGTATGCAAACACAACAATTGAGATCAAACAATGATACAAAGGAGTGAAGTAGCACAACAATCCCGAATCAAAGGAATGTATAAGACAATGGCAAAGAATACTGAGAGAGACCGTGAGTCTTCGCTGTTTGACTTGAGTGTAGACAAAGCAAATCCACGACAAGAACCAACCTCTTTAAATATCCCTCCCTCCAAGCACCTATTCAGACCTTAAAGCTAGGCGAGAATACACGGCACAGAACCTCAAGTTCCAGGCCCAGACAAATTTAGCTACACTCGTGCCGTGTTCTAGATCCGACCGATGAGGATCCATCGGATCTTGGTTGCTGAGCTCTCATTGCGTGATGAAGCGCCGACGGGACGGTAGAGTCTGCTCAGACCTGTTTAAGGAGCGCTTTGTTTGGAGAAGGTGAAGCGAGCGCTTACTTCATACATAGCTAGCTATCAAGAGGATGAGCTCAGGTAAGTGCGCGGTAAAGAGCTAGGGCTGCACCGGGATGGGTCTACTCCACACCGGCGCTTGGAGATGCCATAGCGGGAACGTTCCTGGCCAACGACCCACGAGAGCTTAATTGAACCTGAGACGACTGGCGTGTGGATGATTGGCGCGGAGGGTATTATTGGGGTTTGATTACAGTGGGGAGAGGGACTTGCTCAGCCTCATTCCATCTATTACTATTACTATTAGAGGGTCAGTACGCCGTACTTGGAGGGAGTGGGATGGGAGGCGCCTGCAATGCAGATCGCGCTGTCGCTGTCCAGCTTCTCGGGAGTGTCGTCTGTGGCGTTTTCTATATTAAGGATATGCGGGTAGATTGATTGGGATCGTTTCGTGGAGAAGCGCATTGATTCAGGGTATGTCCCGTACCTGCAGTGAAGGATTGTAGGCGGGATGTTGGGGTTTTGGGTATTGGTTGAGAGTGAGCGCCAATATTCCTCGAGATGGTCTTGTAGTGGGATCTGCTGCTACTTTCCCGTTTCTGGGGAGGTGCTCAAGCTGCTAATGTTGTCGGCGTCTGGATATGCCTTGTAGGTTGTTTTGTTATGCGTAGGTCTTTTGGTAGGTCTGCGTGTAGGTAGACACGTTCGTGTATAGAGCTGGTAGCTTGGAGTAGTATGCCCTTGTTGATAAAGTTGCTGACATGAGTGCCTTATTAGATGAGTTATTGATGCTGCTTGAGCTTGATATCTTGTAGAGTTCGTCCAAGTAGAGCTCGAGCATGACGTAGTCCCAAAATTGTCATGTTGCAAGCTCCTTGGAAAGCTGGACTGAACCTGCGCCATCCCTGCATTAGCTGATTCGATAGTCATAGTCAGGCCACTATTGACTGCGCCTCTCGCCTTGTTTATGCTACTGGTCACTGCGAGCATCGGAAAGATACGAGCCAATCATACCGAGGGCACAACTCACTGCTTTGATGACGTGCCAATGTTGATAGTGGATCTTCATATTGTCTCGCGCCAACTGTTTGGTTGGGGAGAGGCTATGATCAAGGATAATGTTGTATCGATGGCCAATGCTTTGATATGCGCAAGTTGCTTGCCGTCGAACAGACAAGTTGTTGAGCTTTTTGCAGAGCTAGCGTGTCCAAAGACTAATGCAGAAAGACCGCAAACCAGGCAGGATCGACACTCGATGCAATGGTAGTCTCAAAGATGACAAGTCCTAATTAGCTAGCAGGACAGCTCTCGGCCGTCCACGCAATAGCTGCTTCATCTTGGTAGTGCTCCAAGAGTCCCGAATCCCTTTGGGGGCTTGCAGGGATTCGTATCTATTATCTCACCCAATTTTGCCAAGATCAGTAGATCGCAGCATGCAAACAGCACGAAAGCTTGTAATTAGATAGTATCTGCTCCCTGAAGATGTTGTCATTGGTACACAAGGGTCTCTATACTATCCTTTGATGAGATGAGGATATCGAATTGCGATCAAATTCACACCGGTGAGCGTTCTCGACCAGAACACAATAGTGTCTAGGCGTAGACTTGCTTCATGCGGTTCCATTATTTTCTCAGAGTCCGACTTCTCTCACTGCTTTATGTTGTGTTTTCTGGCACGGAGCATGTTTCTGTAGTTGCGGGTGGAGCCATGATAGCTTGCATCATCCTGGTACGGCGGGATACTAGCTAATGAAGTCTTGAAGCTCATAGGGTGAAATAAGCTGGGTATACTGGCGATTTCAATGACGTCGAGCTGGATTTCATCGTCCAGCCGAAAGCCCATCCATATACGAGTAGTATGAGCGTAGTAAATATATTGTGCTCATCAAGTGCTTCAAGAAGATCTGCCAACCATATCTGGCTAGAAACACCTGACTTTCAGGCCAGTGGACTGGAAATACACACTCTATAATAGTATCTAACATCATGCAAACAGTCAGTACTCAATCGCTCACGCAGCAGATTTGTAGCACTTCGTACCGTCTCAGTTGTTGGGTGACGTTCCAAACATCATCTGGTAAACTAATGTGCTGATTTCACGCACACTGTAGTTGAATCTTGCCTTCCTTGTAACATAAACTGAGATGGATGTCTTTTGACCCCTCCACAAGGACAATAAGAGATCGCACAGCTAAGCCAACAATTGCATAGTTCGGGGAAAACTCGGAATTCGTAGTGCCAGTTACATATACTCACCGCCCCAGCGGTAAGTGGAAACTGCCGGCAGTATGTAGATTTTACAGCCGCGGAGATTCGCCGCAGCTGCTTCCACGCCTCTTGCTCCATCAATGAATTGAGCTCCAGGTTGTGGGCATGTATGATGGGTGGTCCAGAATGCCTTTGTTACTCCCAAAGACGAGAGTATTGCAGAGGGCGGCTTGTGTGAATCAAACGCTCACGCCGAGACTCTGCGGAGCTGCCTCGCGCGCGCCACCTCTCCTTCGCCGGAGCAATCTCTCAGACTACTCGCAAATTGTATCACGAAGGTGCTTCAGCGCAGGTTCAAAGGTATGAAAGCTTTTCTAAACTGTCGAGTTTTGCGGCTTACCATTATACTCCTTAGTATCTCGATCAAGACCTACTAAATTCGTCAACTGAGGTGCTTAACCTCCGTCTCAAGCTCGAGTTTGACGAGCACAAGGACATTCGGACCTATCTGCGAAAATGGCAACAGTCCCATTCTAACGACCTGGACCCTGTCCGTGGTCCAGGGACTTCGAACTCCCTGGACGCATCTGCACCCTGGGTGGGAAACATGCTCAACGACAACCGTGAGGCTCGCGATGCCGGAAGCGATGCTCTACGAGCGGCAGATGATTCTTTAGAATTCACAAATTCGGCCGACGAAGGAGAGGGCTTAAATCAATACTTGGAGCCGGGTGATCTGGTGGCAATGACTGCGTAAGTGCAACTGACTTGTCTGTTGTGCAATATTATGGCCGCTAATTTCTTGCGGAACAGCGTCGACGGTATCCTGACATTTGCCATCTATATCCGCTCCATCCATAAACAGCAACAATTCTATACGGACAGAGGAAAATGGCGGATCGCTTTTGCCAAGGATCTTGACTATGTCGTCAAGGGGTTTGTGCCTCCAGAAATGGTTGCGCCCCTGCTCCCGCACGTCCCTGGCGCTGCCGCTCAGATGAAGACAGAGTTCCAATCCGTGACCGAAGGCGGAGTCCCGAGAAATGTTGGTGCGGATCTTCTCAAGAAAATGTACACCTTCGACCAAGACGCGCAGGAGCTGTACCGCGCAAATGCAGCCCGGCTAGACAGCATCCATGACATTGTGGCCGATGAGGAAAATTACTGTGAATATACGTTGGAGGAGCTGACCTGCAAGGCGCTTGATATTGAAAAAGATCAGCTGAACGATGTGCTCTTGTTCCTCGTCCATCGCGTCGCTCACGCCAATGCTTTCTTCATCGAGTATGATCGGAGTTCGCTTTTTGCCAACCATTACCTAGTTAAACCGAGACGGATTGCTAGAGTCCTGGACACGGTCACCACGTGGGCCCACGAGCACCAAGATCACCTTTACCAGAATGTAAATGGTAAGGGGCTTCCCAACTTGAAGGACCATCCTCTCCAGAAATTCGTCCAGAAGGCCCAGCGTCTCATCAAGCGTAGCCGAACCGCGCGCGCGCCCACTACCATGGCTTGCGTCGGTCCAAGTGCTCATCGATTCACTCCGGACCAGGATGGCAAACATATGGTCTATCGTGAAATGGTTACAGAAAAGTTCAGTGACACCGATCGTATGATCATTGAATACTTACAGCTATGGTGTCTTCCGCCGCGCAGAATGACGTCTGGGACCATGCGCTCGGCTGGTTCGCATATAATGCGTAGTACAGGCATGTATGGCGCTGTGGAACTGAACCCCATGACGGCAACTCTTTTCCTACAAGAATTGGGTGTTTTCTACCCGTGGGAGAATATCCGCTTGTTCGACCAAGGTCTGGCTCTTCCCGGCCACGGCATTTCTCCCAGCTCGGATGTGGCGTGGGAGGAAGTCCAACAAGAGTGCGAGAAGCTCAACTCACAGGAGCTTCCTGATAAGATGAAAGATGTGCGTACTGACTGGGGCGACCTACCGGTTTATTGTGTGGATGATGCCACTGCTCAGGAGATTGATGACGGTGTTTCTCTCGAGCGCATTCCGGGATCGGACGATACATTCTGGGTCCGTGTACATGTGGCCAACCCTACTGCATTCCTTGATTCTGAAGGCAAGGTTATGCAGTACGCCGCTTCCCGCCTCCAGACGATGTATGCCCCAGAGCGTACATATCCTATGATTCCGAGCTCCCTCACGCAGAAGCACTTCAGTTTGGCCCCAGGCCGTCCAACTCTCACCTTCAGCGCGAAGATGAATCTGCAGGGCGAAGTTCTTGATACCGACATCACGAATGGAGTGGCCAGGAACGTCATCTATATAACACACAGCAAGCTACGCAGTCTTTTCGAACCTAGTTCTGAAAAGGAATTAGAGCCTTTGAGAGTAGGGGGAGAAGTGCCGAAGCGGAATTTGCGTGAGGAGTTACAGGAGGAAATAGATGAGAAGGATGAGTCCAATTTCCGTACGCTTCGACAGTTGATGCTGGCGTTCCGGGAACACCGACGCAAAAACGGCGCCATGGAATGGCCTTCATCTCCCGACATCTCTCTTTCAATGACTGCAGGGACGGAGCCTTTAAATCCTTCAAATATGATGGTGACGGAAGGGCGTTACGTTCTTGGCGATCCCGTCATTGAACTGGCCCAACAACAAGTTGATCCTCACGAAGTTCCTGATATGACGAAGCGCAACCTTATCTCGACTTTAATGAACCTGGCCTGTTGGGTGTCCGGAAAATGGCTGGCCGAACGCAACATCCCTTCTGTCTACGATGGAACGTACTATCATCCGGAATATCCTAAAGTAACCAATGAGAATCTGTCCGAATACGGAGGGCAAGCTTGGCTGCAGTTGGCAGCTCCGAAGGGTATCTCTTCATCCAGTCCCCTCCATCATACGCCTCTTGGACTTGACACCTATGTCAAAGCAACCAGTCCCCTGCGGCGGTACACAGACGTCCTTGCTCATTATCAAATCGAGGCCGCGCTTCGCTTCGAACACGAGCATGGCCGCCGCCTGGACGCCCAGACGGATGAGCCTGCTCTGCCTTTCTCTCGTGAATATGTTGATGAATATATTTCTCGGTCCCGGTGGAAGCGCAACCGCATCCGGGAATGTGACCTAGCCTCCAAGCAATTCTGGGCATGCATGCTTCTGTTCCGCGCCTTCTACTTCTCCGAGTGCCCACTACCTGAAACATTCGAGTGCTTGATCCAACGGCCATACAGCAGCACCTCCATGGCTGGTACGCCATACGGAAACGGATACGCTGCTGTTATCACGTCCCTGGGAGTTCGCTGCCAGGTCTTGATACCTGAAGAAATGTCAGATGCACCTGACCTGGACATCCTCAGTATCGTGGACGCTAAGATTACTGCCGTTGATATGGCACGATCGCTTGTGGTCATGGAAGCAACGCGGGTCGTTAAGCCGTTTGAACGGGTGGGCGAATGGAAGTGATGCATTTGTACAGTGAAAATCGAGTTTTGGCCATCGGTGTTGTTGTTGGAGTTCCGGTAATAGCATCGTTTTGAACGCTCTCATCTCTGGTTAATATACGAAGCGTCTGGTGTTTATATTATATGTACCATAGCTTGCAAATAGATCTTATTGTCGATATCCCAAATAGGCAAGAGCAACTAGCTCATGTGACAACCCTCCTCGTCACGCCTCACTGATTCCTACTACTCGAACCTTGAGTGTCCAAACTCCTTTTTCCGGACGCTGTACTACCATTTCCCGCATGAATTCCATATCCTCAGGGCGCGTCTCGCATAGCTCTAGGTCAAAGCGACGCACAATGGCCGCCAGCGTCATGTACAATTCTGCATAGGCCAGGCTGATTGATAATGAGCTTATGTTATTGCTAGTGAGGGATTTGTACTCACTTCATGCCAATACAAATTCTACTGCCCCGTGTGAAAGGAACTAGGTATTTGGTAAGGTTGTCCCCCGGTTCAGCAGCTTGGATCCATCGCTCGGGGTGGAAGCTTTCAGGATCTGGGAAAATCGCGGGATTACGGTGGATGAAATAGCTGATTGTGCTGACCGGAGTCTGCATATAAAAGTGTCAGTTCATTATCCTCCTGTTCGAACAGTTATGCTTACGCCAGGCGGGATCTCGTATCCCTTATAATATAGTGTCTCTGTTGGTGCCACTCGCGCTGGTCTCAAAGCTGCTGCCCCAAGCCGGAGAGCTTCATTGATGACGGCCGTCTACCCGTCACAACAAGTTAGTGCTTGGTGTCAATGCTCGCATATATATTGGTCTCGATTGCGTACCAGGTATGGCAGCCGCTCCAGCTGTGCCCAATTGGCTTCACTAGTTGGCTTAGGCATGACTTGCTGCAGTTCTTGCCGGAGCTTGATATAAAGGTCTTTGTTTCGCAGAAGATGATATGTCGCAAGCGTCAATGTCGCTGCCGTGCTTTCTGTACCCCCGAGGAGGACAATAAAGCTCTCATCGCGCAGGCGAGCTACAGAACGCTCGCCCGCAGGTACAGAAGGATCGCTCAGAGCATGATATATTGACCTTCGTTTTGCGCCTTCATGCGCTAAAGCCTCATCTGATTGACGGGAAATCTGCTCCTGCATGTCATACACATTTGACAATGCAGGACGAACAAGGCGCATGAGCCGTATTGGCAAAGCTTTCGTTAGGGTTGGAATAATTGGGAAGAATCGGAACAAATGGCAGGCACTAGTGCCCTTGGCCAAGATGTCCCACACAATGTTTCTTTTCACCAGGTCCTTTTCTCTCAGATACCCATTGTCTTTGCCATAAAGATAGTGTGTGATGATGTCTCCCGTAAGTGCAGTGAAGGCTGTACTTAACGCGAACACCGCTTGCTCGGCATGTACCCGTTCCAGGTGCCATGCTAGAAGGGACACCTTTTCTTGAACGACACCTGAGAGCTCAAGTACAGCCTTCTTCGAGAAGAACGGGTTCAGCGGGGCTCTACGAGCACGGTGAAGATCATGATCGACGGTTGCCAGAGCCGCATATGATGATGCATATGATGATACCATGCGCGGATCCTTCTCTCGTTTCCGGCCACACCCAGCATAGATCTCGTCATACATAGATGGGTCAGCAATATGGACTTCTCGCGGGTTTATTCGCACGACTGAGCCTTCAATTATTGTCAGTATGGTGCATTAATAGTGGTCCGGTAGAATACCGTATGCTCTATGCATCTTCTCGATTTCCCAAATGAATTTTCCACCACGAATAACATCGTGGTAGAATTCATGCAGGTGAGTGGCAGCTGCTAGTTTGGGCCCTGGGATTTTGCTAAGGGGGTGAAAATAGATACGGTAGATTGTTCTCGCAGAGACACAAAAGACAACCAAGAGTGGTAGAAGGGTGTACATCATGAGTAACCGTCAGTTTATCGTAATTTTTTCATCAAAAACCGCGTCTTATCAGTGTAGTTTGGAGTGATGCCAGCTACCCATATATAGTAACAGTCCCTGCTCAGAATGCATGCGCATATTGCGAATCCCCTTGACGAGCAACACTAAGAGGCTCTCATCTTCAGACCATGGAGTCGGGGCGAAATTCCGTCCAATGCATTGACTCGTTGGAGTTCGGCGCATTCAGCCAGACCTGACTCATGTTTACGATAGGCGGTTGTCCAGAAGGTACCTATCGTGTGGCTTTCTGCTTCCATTGAAAGTCTGCGGCTAAACTAGCTACGTTATATCCCGGTTAGACACAAGTCTCGAATGAGGATCTGGATACACCGAATTAGCGCCAGAGTCACCATAGTCGGAATAGTGTCACTAGGAATAGCAAATAGTCGTCGACGATCCCAATCTCGAGTAACCCACTTGTCGAGAATACGTTGCTATGTTCGGGTGCTACTGAGCAGAAGGTGGCTGAGCGAACAGACATCTGGCTTGCAGCTGTGCTAGGGCCTAGGTGAGTACTCGTAAGCTGATCATGATTGTGATTAAGGCTTTGATAGTCTGACCGACACAATGGCTTTGTTGTAAGAGGGGCGTGCTATATTAATACCTTTCATCCAGGACTATAAGCTTTCAGCCTAGTTGTGTACCAGTGTTATTGGATCTGGACCGGCAATATTATATCCAGCGTGTCATCCCGTCTTCCCGCCGATCTCAACAGTTTACGGTTAAGCAGCTAACTGACCATATGAATGCGGGAACTGTGTTATAAACCGCTCCAATATCAGATTTACAATTACTCTAGGGTTTCGGCCTGCGTCCGACTGATTGTAGCGGACATCCGCTGTAGCCGCCACCGCATATTCTCCGAATACTGTCCAGGACATCCGACGCAGGTTTGCTTCAGGACTGCATGATTTACGAGTAGGACCAATTCTAGTGACATAAGCCACATGCACGGGGCTATGTTATGATGCACATACGTATGCCATATTCTCCGATATCCAAATAGGCCTGTTGAGTCATTAGTAAGAAGCGAGGCCTTGCAGTATTCCATATGGTGGACAGTACTTTCTAATCAAATGCGTACTAAGTTACAGAATTCTTCTCTCAACGGCCCAAGTCAATCATATCATGGGTCATCATAACAGACAATCACTAAAAAGAGAAGATTGTCTCATGCAGGACAACTGCAGCAATCACGCCAACAGGCGGCCCATTCCGCCACCGTTGATATAATCGGGATTTCCGAGTGGCTATGGACTAACTAGGGTTAGGAGACAGTAAGTAGCGGTGGGAATTCAAACAACTGGTGATGAAGATGTTTGCCATGAGTTCAGAAGATTAGCAGAAACCTCGCAGGAACTTACCCTACTTGGTTGGTACTCGGACCAAGATGCCATGCTAGGCTAAGATGTTGCCAGTACGGCTCTATAGTATGCTCACCGATCTTTCCACATGGACTTCACTTATCGGGAGGCCTCTAAGTTACAGGGATTACTTCGAACAATCAGCATGAAGATGGATGATTGGCTTCAAATTCCCTCATGTTTTTGCAACTGCTACATCTATGTCAATTGTCGAGTAATATCTGGAGTATCCCTTAGTAAACAATAGTAATCAGATCAAAGACTAACTTGACATCAAACAATACGCACATTATGTAGACTGGACTCAGCATGCATCCCTGCTGCTATACGCGGGCGTCTACGTATACACTCTCAACGAGCAGAGAAATGGCCTCAGCCATACATACTAATCCAACCCAGCCATTCATACAATCTCATCCATCTACATTCACCCTATCATACACACAGTCCTCCTCCCTATGTACTCCATACTATCTATCCCATACATACATACCACATCTAAACCCCAAAAACCTCCTTAACCAGCGTCTTCTTATTAACTAGATCCCACACATAGTCAGTCAGTAAAATCATCCCAAACGTAAGCCCTCCAAACACCACCAACCCAAACCAAAGAAAGAGAGAAAGTAAACGGAATAAACTCACCCTTCCCCATCGCATTCCTCGGAATCACCCCCTCCAGGACCTTCATCTCCTGCGGCATCTTATACCCCGCCAAGCGATCCTTCAACGCCCTGCGCATATCCAACGCACCCCAGGGCTTATCCCCATTCTTCCCACCCCCGCTAGTTCTATACTCGGGTCTGAGGACCACGATCGCGGCGACCTTTTGGCCCCATTGTTCCGAGGGGAGGCCTACGACGGCGGCTTCGGCGATTTGGGGACTCCACCAACAATTAGTATTTCGTGAATGGTGGTGGTTAATGTTGTAGATGGAAGGGGGCACTCACAGCGAAAGCAACTCCCTCTCGACTTCCAACGCACTAACCTTCTCTCCGCCCGTCTTGATGATATCTACGCTTCGACGACCCTGGATGAAGTACATTGGGCCTTGGGCCCATTCGCCGCTTGAGCCGTGGCCGGCGGTGGGGACGGGTCTGCGGACGGCGACGTCGCCGGTTTTGAACCACGGTCTTTTGTCGGGGTCTGATTCGTCAGGGACGAAGGATTCTTGCGTGGCTTTTTCGTTGGCCCAGTATTCTTTGAAGATGGTGGGGCCGCGGAGCTGGATCTCGCCTTCGCGTTCACGGCCTGTGGTGGTGTCGAGCTCTTCGCCCGGGTTGATGACTTCGTTTGTTTCGGTGTCGACGAGACGGGCTTCTACTGAGGGTAGGGGCCAGCCGACGCTGCCGTCGACGCGGTCGGTGAAGTCGAGCCCGCAGCTGATGGCCATGCCGACTTCGGTCATGCCGTAGCGTTCGAGGAGGACGTTGCCGTTGCTGAGGTCCGACCAGGCCTTTTTTGTTGGGGTGGGGAGGGCGGCCGAGCCGGAGATGTTGAGGCGGAGGTTCTCTGGGGAGATGGCCTGTCGGGCGGCTTCTTGGGTGGGTGTGGGGAGGTTGGGGAAGGATGTTAGCAGGCGGTTGTAGATTGTGGGCACGGCTGTGAGGAAGGTGATTTTGCTGCGTGTGGGTGGGGAGGTTTGGGGGAGGAATGGAGCGGCGAGGCGCGTCCACACGGCGTCGGTGTTGAAGGGGAACATGAATTCGATGGAGGAGCCGGCTAGGATGGGCGTCACGATGGCGTTGACGGTGCCGTGGATGTGGTGTAGGGGGAGGAGGTGGAGGAGGCGGTCTTGCGGGGTGTAGTTCCATGCTTGGAGGAGCGAGGCCGCTTGGGCTGTTAGGGCGGATTGGGGGATGAGGACGCCTTTCTGGGGTTGGTTAGTTGTTGTCTGTATGTGATGGTTTGGGATAGGTGCAGGTGTGGAGGGTCATACGGGTCTGTTGGTGGTGCCGGATGTGTAGAGCATCATTCCACCGCGCGATTCCACTCCGATATCCTCCAATGACACTGAACCCGTGTTGTTTGCGCCCACTTTGATCTTCTCCTTGACATCCAAGACAGGCTCCCGATCCAGACCCGCCTTGACGAGTTCTTGGGCCTTCGCTGCGTACTTCTCCGTTGCAAGCAGCACCTTGGCCTGGGAGTTATCCATGATATACTTCAATTCGCCCACGGGGAAGGCGGGGGACAGCGGAAGGGCAATGGCATCGCTGGCGAGGATGGAGAGCAGCGTCACTAGTACAGTTTGTCAGCGAGTATCCCATTAACACCATACATGAGATGGTCACAGTACCTACGTAGTCGTAGCTATTCTCAGCCAGAAACGCGACCCTCTCGCCGGACAAGCCATCTTTTCCACCCCCAGCAGAGTGGAGCAGCCGGTTTTTAGCTTGCAGTACGTCGGCAACCAGATTCCCGTATGTGAACGATCGAGCAGACGCGCTGTGAACCACCGCCAGGTTTGATTGATCCTGGTTCTGGAGGGCGCGGAAGAGAGGTAGATTCGGCAGGGAGGAGATCGATCGACGGACGATAGGTGTCACTAAAGACCGGGAACGACTCGTAGGAGCACCACACCTCCACGCTAGAAGGGTGTGGAGCGAATGTTGACGAGACGGAGAAGCAATCGAGCCCCGGGAGAGGAGCGGCATCAAGGTGCGTCCGGACATGACTGAAGAGATGCGTGGGAACCGTATGACATGACCCAGCAGCCGTCAGGATATCTCGAGGTTATAATTGCCTCGTTGCGCAGGTAAACCACGTCAATCAATGGATTGATCGATACCCAAGGCAAAAGATTAAGGCGGATTGCGCGACGGAACTGATGTCATTTAGGGAGGAAGCGCATCGGAGCTTTGCGGTCTCGGCAACGGCACTTGCTTTACTCCGGCTATCGGTGGTTGGAGATGCATCTGAAGCAGCATGTTAAGGTTAGGAAGGACGGTGATAGCTTTGCATGGAACCAGTCAGATTGGCCGATGCTTATTCTTTCCGGAAGAAAGAATAACACGCCTGCCAGGGTGATGATCGAGTACTGAAAGGCATCTAATGTGACGAAGCAACGGACAACCCCCGACCTCCGCACCATTCCCAAAGCAGTAACCCGCCCACTCCGTGGCCAATTGCGGTCTCCCGATTCTCATCGCTCAGCATCAAGAATCCCCCCTCCGTATCTCTCAATAACTTACTACTCAGCATCATATCTCTCCTCCCCGCCTTATCTTCCACCGGGACTACCGCTTCCCCCTCAATGCTCCCCCGCGCCTCCCTCTCCGGCTTCCTCCCCCGCCGCGTCTTCTCCCTTACTGCTACCAGAATGGCTTCTACCTCCGCAACCCCCGTTGAAGATCTCATCCGGGAGAAGGTATGCCCAATACCCGCCTACATACACTACTATCAGATTATACATTCTCATACTAAGTAACAATGTTTAAAGCTTACAACCGCTTTCACCCCCTCAACCCTCGTCATCCGCAATGATTCGCATCTGCACGCACATCATAACGCCATGCGCGGGTCGACTTCGAAAGAGACCCATTTCCAGTTCGTCAATTCGCTCTTCTTCTCGTGATACTTGTTGGTCTGACTTATATTTGTCTAGTGTGACGATCACATCTCCCTCGTTCCAGTCGAAGCCCCAGCCTGCGCGCCATCGTATGGTCTATGGTTTGTTGAAGGAGGAGATGAGTCGCGAGGGTGGCATCCATGCGCTGCAGCTGCGGACGAAGACGCCGGAGGAGGAGCAAAGGGAGGAGGAGAGGAAGGCGGCGAAGGCTTGATACTCTATACAGCATGTACTAGAGACAGGAAGGGTTGATGTTTCTTCATTTGACTTGATCTGCGATACCCATGAATAAATGCATTATACGGTCGATCGAGTGCGTTCTGCATACAGTTCGTACATACATCAAGGGATATTATTATTAAGGTAGTCGGATTATTACATGTTCTAGCGCCAAAGGTAGGGGCAACGAAGAGACTCTAATATATACACTGCGATAGCATCAAGCGCATCCTAGCCAACGTGCAGCGACAGTAATTCATCAGGCCGCATACGCCCCAAGACGCAGAAACTATACACGACCGATCAGTGGATACAGACAAACAGCGACGAGCGATCAAGCAGACATAGGAGACGATTCAGCAGGTGGGTGCTTTTCAACCAAGACAAGACAAAACGACAAAGTGGTATAACAACGGAAGAATCACAGCAAGCGAACGATCCTCGACTGGCTCGGCTTACCGTAAGCGTAGACAAGAAGTAGAGCATCGGACGAGAACACAAACGATAAGAGGTCGTTACAGCCTTGCGTAAACTTGAACGGAAAGCGAACAGAAGCAGGACAAGGTTAATACCTCGGAGGGTATCTGGAGATGAAGGGCATTGGCATGGCGAAGCATTTATATCAGCGCAAGGTCGAGTCATCAGATCAAGCCAAGTATAGCATATTGCATATGCCATAGAAATCACGGGCTCTATTTCGAGGACTTGTTGGCTTCCGTGACACCGACGGCAACACCGACGACAATGGCGATGATGAGAACTGGAGATAGTGTTAGCCTGGCCTATGAATGGGTATCGCATCGGGACACTTACTGACGACCAGCAGAGCATACCACTTCCACTTTCTCGCCCGACGAGCGCTGGCAATAGCTTCCGTGATCTGGTTGTTCGCGTTCGAAACGTTCTGCGCAACATTGTCTGCATCCTGGTTGATCTGCTCCACAGCAGGCTCCTGCTGGTGGACCAGCTCCGCCACTTCCTGGTACAAGCGACCAAGCTCCATCATATCCTGCTCGATCTTGCGAATGGCGGCCGATCGCTCCAAAGCGGCCTGCCTGGCGTCGTTGGCCTGTCTAGTCCGGCTACCCGTAACCTAATCGGAATATTAGCATGAACTTGCTGAAACTTCTCCAAAGAACATACCTGGAAGCTCTGCTCCTGGCCCAACAAGACATTGTCCACACCCTGCTCGATCTCCTCGGGGGAAGCTTCGGGGTTGGCGATCTCATAACGTCTGCGAACCTGCTCCCTCAGGCGCTTCTGGAAGTCGGACTGGCATCTCTGGTACTGTTCGATCTCGCGACGGAGGTTCCGGCTAGTGACGTCGATCTGGGTCTGCACACGGCTGTCTCCGGAACCGGGGGTCTGCTTGACCTTCTTCAGAAGATCGCGGAGGTAACGGAATCCGTTGTTCACTTCATCCTCGATGTAGTCCAGAGTCTGGCGAGCGACCTGGTCCTCCTTTCCGGTACTCGAGTCGAGCAAAGCGTTCTGAGCGGCGGCAAGCTGGCCCTCGCGCTTGGCGCGGAGATCGGCAATACCGTCGTTGATCTCTCGGCACTTGTTCAGCAGCGTCGTCGCGTCGGCCGGCTGGTTGTAAGAGCCCATTTCTGATGTGCGATCGCAGGTTAGGCCATGGTCGGGTCAGACAGACAGGCTGAAGGTGGTGCGCTTACCATAGCTACCGTTGCCCTGCTCCATGGCATTGGCGTCGCTGTAGGGGTTGGCATCTTGCTGGCCGTAGGGGTTGTACTGGCCGTAGCCACCTTGGTTTCCACCGTACTTGAATCGACGAGTTAGCAGACTGTTTGACGATGCGCAAGTGGTGGGTAATAAGGGGTGGGGTAACGGCAAGGGTCAGGATGATGACGTTCTGGGTGTCGACATACACTCATGGTGAATAAATTATTGTAGTTCTGAAAGACTTTCAAATCGAATTGTCCGTACAGCCGTCAATTCAGACACAGAGGTCGTGATGCAGCGTGGGTCACTGGTCGCAGCGAGTAATTCCGACAGGTGGACGTAGCTTCGGGGTTGTACGGGAAACGAGAACGGCGATGAATTGCGACTACCGTAGAAAGGGAGGATTAAGAGTTTCGTGGGTAAATAGAGTCGGGGACTGCAAATAAGGTGAAACGGTAAAAGGTGGAGGAGGGGATAAGAAGGGAACGAAGAGGTAACAGGCAGGCAGGCAGGCAGGCAGGCAGAAAAAAAAAAGCAGCAGTTGAGGGAATGAGGTGAGAAAGAAAGAATGGGGGAAGGACGAAAGAGTGACGGGTGAGACAAGGCGGCTGAGCCACTGGCGGCTGCAAATCCAAAGGGAAGCCCTCGACGGTTGACTGGCTCTGGCCCGCAGATGGCAAATATGTCACTCAACTCAACAACTCTTCTTGAACTTCCAGAAGAAGGGGAGGAGAAAATAAGGAACGACTGGGGGTGGGAAGGAAATCAAGAAAGAAAGAGGAAAATGAAGCTGTTTTTCTTTCTCTTCTCGCTCTGGTCAATCAGGGGTGAAACCTAGCACTGATGGCTTTTTCTCAATATTATTAGTAGGGGGCGTCTAGCTCGAGCACAGACCGGCCGGCGATCCTCGAGTCCCCTTTTTCCCACGATGATGATAATCAAAACATTCCACCGTCTATGCCCTCTGAAACAGCTCGGTCGGGTCCAAAAAGTGGAATTGCGATGCTGGGCTGAAGGCTCGAAATGATACCATGAGTGATCGAGGTAGATAAAGTGCTGCTGATCGTCGGGGTGCACTTGATGCTATACCCAGTACTTTCTTCATCAGACAGGTCTCTACTCTCTACACCGGAAAGCAAGAATTGCCCTGACAGAATCACACCCTTACTTGCGACAATCTTTGCTTTTTATTGCCAAGTTTGATTGTGAAGCTAAGATTCAAGAAAGAAGATCCCAAGACAGAACAGAGGGACTAATCGCAACTATCTACCCTGTGTCTTAGAAAGCTATCCACTTTGTGCTGCTCATCCAACACTCGCAACTGTGTGCGAACTCGATTTTGTCCCCAAATACGACCGACCATTGACCCTTGAACACCCAGCACGAGCTACTTTATTATGTTCCTGAAGCCGTGGAGCGGCAACCTGCACGTCACTGATATGTACCTACTCCATTGGATGTGATCTGGAAACCATGATCTGGGCCCTGGCAGGGTTGAGCTTCAACGGTCTCCCCACCTGCCACCCAGCTTTTCCAATTCCATGACTATGCGCCCAATCAACCCCATACACTGGCAACCGCTGGCGACGAAATAACCAGCGATCAAACTCGCAATGAATCAGATGTAACAAAGCTTTTGACTACAATATGTTAGCTCAATTTCCCCTGACGCCGTTTCCCCACTCTACAATTTCAGCAACGGCAGAACCATGCCGTCAAGTTTCATCTCATTTACTCTCATGCCATCATGCATATTAATCCTAAGATTGCCAGACAATGGCAATTTCACACAATACCGTTGCTGAGCACTGCAACACAATAACACCAACGGCGTAAGCAGCTGAGCTCATCTCAGCTCAGCGCAGCACAATGGAATTCCCACAGCAGCTCCACAGCCGCGATCTAGCTTGTTTGGCCAGCGTGTGCCTGTCTAACCCACAAGCGAGCGTAATTTTAGCAACACCGAACTCCATTCGCGGTGCAGGTGCATGCATCCATTCTTCGAATCATGCTTCTAGGAAGGAAATGTCGGTGTCTAAATGGCAATGTGCCCACCGCCACATAACTATCAGAGTAGTTTAGCTTAAGCTGAGCCTCAAGTTGGTGGACAAGACACTGCCCCATTCAATTCAATCCCTCGGTCGGGGCTAGTCAATAAACCTCAGGCAGCCGTTTTTCCACTCAGTCAAGAGGTCACATGCTCCCAGGCAGTGAACTCACGTTACCCCATATATCCCTAGCATATTGATTGTCGCGTGGTCAGAAGGCTTATCGCTTTGAAGAAATCACTAGGTGGGTTCATGCGATGAACCTTAAATTTAATATGTCACAGCAAGGGATATATTCATATAGCTTTTGGTACCTACATGAAAGTACCTTAAGCAAGCAGACATATACTGACATTAAAACAAGGGTCTAGATGACATAAAGTCGAATGTCTCTCCCTGCTAACTCTACAAAGTCAATCCTGTTTTGAATGAAGCCAACTGAACCCTTCATCACCAATCAACGACCCTAAAATAGCCAGTACTGCGACAACCACCAGACCTACAACACTACTCAAAACGAAGAACAAATTACACAACATACAGACAATTTCTATAAAGCCATCATTGAACACTATACGGAGTACAAAGTAATCGATTAACATCACACCCACAAGCGCAATCATTACCACAACCACAACCACAACCATCCAGCCCGAGCCACAGACCCAGCAAACCAAACCCAAGCCAACTAACGGTCTAGAATCCTTCACATCCTCCCCCATCCACAGAACCCAGTATCCCGAATCCATGGAACTGCAGTAAGGGTCCATAGCTACTTCACCTAGTCTACCTACCAGCACACAGAACAATTTGCAGTTTGTACTCGCCAGCCGGCCAGACATCCGAAAATCAAACCCCACCCCCCCC